AGGCTCAGTGGAAGAGGGTAGCCAAGACAGGACGTGGAACCAGAACTTGATGCAGGACCTTTAAACTGGTCTCCTCCTTGGAGCCAGGCTTACTTGGATAAAAACTGAAACTCCTCACAAATTGAGCCAAAAATCCAGAGGACTCCGCGGGGGAGGAACAGTGGTCCCTATGTCCTCCAGCAGTCTAAGCCTATAGCAGCAGAACTATAGATAGCTCAGGATAACCTCTCTTCTGACTATTCTACTCTCTCTGAGTAACTTTATTGAAAAAAGAAACAAAGATGTTTAAATAAGAAAATGTACTATAGAGACACACAATTATTATTTATGATTAAGTTAACTTGTTTAAAAAACATCTCTGATGTTTTACTTTTATTTTCTTTTTGTTACTTATTAAGTCATTCAGACAACAGTTATTTTATTTGCTGTTCTGATTTTATATACATTAACATCTATGTATTGATTTCACAAGGTTTATATTATATATTCTGAATTAATTCTACTTTTTAATAATTTAGTTTTTTTAGTATTTTAATTACCAGTATTTGTACAAAACTTAATATTTTCATATTTAAAACATAATAATCATAAAATATTAAATCATTTCTTCTGATTACTCACTACTAAGGTAACTAAATACTTAATTAAAAGTTTTTTATGTTTGTGAAACCTTTTACTTGTATAGTTTTTGGCTACTTTACCAACATTTGATCCGTTTTTCAACATCATAGCTTCTCCTGGTATTGTAAAAACATGTACAAATTCAGAAAATAAAAACTGAACTGATCTAAATTTATATAAATAAAACAAATAAAGAAAAACAAACAAACACGTGCTTGATTCAAATTAATTTTTATTTCCAATGACTTGCAGACGAACAGACATGCATGCGGTCAGAATTTAAGTTGATTACATTCCTGTTCTGTAGATCAGAGGAATAATGAGATCATAGCCTATTTCTTTGGACATTTTCTCACAAATATTCTTAATGATCATTAAACAGGTTTCAAACATCTGATTTGGATTATATAGTTTCACATTCCTTCATTGAAATCCTCCAGACTAGTCTTGGAAGTTTCTTTGCTGTCATCATTTCATTAATTCTGCTGTTACACACTCGCATCCTCTCAGCCTGTTTCATAGCTATAAAAAACATCTTTTCTTCAATATTTCTTAAGGATGGGGATTTTTATACCATCCTCTTTTAAAACAAAAGAGACTTTTAGTCGACGCTGATCCTGAACAGGTTTCCCTGTAGCAGCAGCGGGAGGTTAAGGTTCTTCTGAGTAGCTGAACTTTCGTCTTCCCCAGAGGCTCTCAGGGACGGGGAAGCCCTTCCTGTCTACCGGCTCCACCACCAGCTCCAACACGCAGGGCGGCTCTGGCACCACCAGCTCCGTCACCCTGAACTGGTTGGAGTACGCCCACGCCACCAGCTCCAGCTGACCATGAGGGGTTTTCGGATCAGGTCCTCTCAGCCTTCGCCAGTACACCTTAAAGTGGCGCACAGACTGAAGCGGGTAGTTCCAGCGTAGCGTAGCGCTGAGGCGGAGGCGGGGGGAGGCGCCCTCTGGTGATTTAGCGTCTCCACGCAGCCACACCACGTCATCGATGCGCAGATCCTCCACAGGGTCACTGGGCGGCTGCAGGGAGTCCACATCCAGGACCTGACAGAAACATTTTTGTTTTTATTTTAACTAAACTGTTAAAGCCACAAGAACAGAAGAACATGCATACCAAACAAAAAAATATGAGAATAAAGACGACATCTTAATGGTGACATCTTCTCTGACTGGTTTTAAATCACCTTTATTCTTTGGCTTTTAACACCTAGCAAGACAGTGGACTGTATTTTCTCCATTTATTATCTTTTACCTCATTTTATGGACTTGATTGTGGGAAAGTTACGTTTACCCATGTTTCAGCTGTTCTGTCTTCTTTACATCACACGGTCAGCTCTGGATGTTTTTATAAGTGCTCAACAATTAAAATCGGACTGGATCTTTAAAGCAAGCAGTTTTGATTCCTTTCAAGGTTAAGAAAGGATAAAACATATTTATTCCTGCTAATAAAATATGATTCTCATTAATTATGCAATTAAACTGTCGATAATAAATAAAGCCCTTCATGGTCTTGCTTCATTATATTTAACCCAGATGTTGACCGTACACCGCCCCAGAAGAGTTCTGGACGTCCCTAGGTCCCGGTATAAACAGCAGGGCGATCGTTCCTTTGTGGTCACTCACTGCACCTAAACAAGGGAACAACCTGCTCCTCGGTCTGCGGGTTCTCACAGATCTGAACCTTTTTAATTCCAGGTTAAAGACTCTTTTTTTTTTTTTTGTGGCTTTTAATGCTTAGGACACATTTTGGTTCTAGTTGCACGTTTTTTGACATTTCTACTTTTTTTTTTGCAATGTTTTTAATCTTTCTGTGAAGCACTTTGGTCTTCCTGGTGTTGTTGTACAGTTCTATATAAATTAACTTTGATTTTTAATTGAATAATTTATAAAATGTCTCCAGCGCTTCACTGTCGTCTGGTTTTTCCTGAATATTCCACTAACCATAGTTAACGCTGGCAGCAGAAATAAAACCAGTTTACTACCAATATTCCAGCATTAAGGATAAATAACATTAGGTTATATATTAAACCCATGATAATGGATTCCATGTTTTGGAGTCGACCTAAAATAGCAAAGCTGAGATCGGATGTTGTGTTTGTCTTCATGAAAGCAGTCTCATTATTCCTATTTATCAGCTGATTCAGTGAGATTTCAATGTGGAGCCGTGAAACTTTTATATCATACTCCCTAGAGCAGCCAGAATATAAGTTATGTTTTGTATCTATTTTTTTTTTGTAACAAAATTAGAAAGTGTTGAACTGGTAATGATACAGTCTGTCAAGGCTGAGATTGAGACCAGAGACCAAGACAAACCGGTCTAGACCCGTTTTTTTTCCCATTTTATAAATGATCTTTTTATGTTTTCTATTGATTCTCAGGATTATTTGGATAATTAATGGTAAAGAAAATAGTTCCTGTCTCACCATAATCTCTCCAACCCTGCATTTGAAGTGGCTGTCCTGAGCGCCTGCGTCCTGATGAATAAGGACGCACACTTCTCTGAGAACGCAGCTGTGAAGCTCCAGCTGGGAACATCTGGCAAAGCAACATCAGAACCATAGAAAGGACAGATGTTTATCCTGCAGAATGAAGCTGAACTGTCATGTAGTCCACCGTCAGTGAGCCTTACCCAACAGTCCACCCCTCTGGGTTCCCGTTTCCACACAGTTCAGAGATCAGCTCCGCTAAATGAGGTTCAGAGGGAGACGTACTGGATACTGTGGAAAAAACATTTATCAGCTAAAAGTTCAAAACAGACTGAAAAAAACACTAGTTGTATTCCCACATATAAGAAAATATAAGAAAAATACTTTTTTTATGGGACGTTTTAAATTAGACTCACATGTGACCTCATGGTTATCAGTGTGGGAGCAGTAGGAGACGTCCGTCGTCTGCAGCTGCAGAGAGATGGTGATTCCAGGAGATGCTTTATGGACAAGAACTACCAAGATCTTGGAGTCCAGAGGCACATGAAGGGAAAAGATCCTGGCAAACACAAAATCCCAAATAAAAAAGCTGTTTTCATTGTATCTTAAAGCATAATCATTAAAAAAAACTACAAGACGGTGAGGAAATGCAGTGATTCAAACAGTATTATATATTTGAAAAGATCTTTGAATAAGAACGTGTTTTGGCTGTTTTTAAACGGTCTAGACCAGTGATTGCCAGAGGTCAGGGGTCATTACCCCACCCGGGGGTCACTGATCAACAAGCACCAGCAGTGAGGGCTGATGGTGCTTGTTGATCAATGAAAATGATCAATGAAAATGATCAACCTACAGAGCGCTGAATTCAAAGACACCCCAAAAATTACAGTGAAAAAATCATGCAGCAGGCTATAGTCCATTAT